CGGCCGGGCCGCTTCCTTTTCTGCTGCCTGGCTGGGAGTGGCGTCCGCACTCGGCTCCGCCACGGCCCCGGCGGGACTTGACCTCGGGAAAGTTCGGCTGTGCCTTCATGGCACTTCCACACCCCAGGATGCAGCTCCCCCGAGGCGGCTGCCTTCCCGGGGTGCGCGGGGCCTGCCCGGGTCCCTCAGAGAGGTCACGGGCTCGCTCACTTGGTGTAACTGGTTCAGCCGGGCAGCGAGGCTCTCGCAGTGTTTCTGGGGCAGCCCTCCTCCTGTCTGCGCTTCTTCAGAGGAGGGGCCCCAGCCCAGAGACACCAAGTGACCTGTACCGCCCCACCGTCCTGGCCACTCTCTTAGTAGCGCCTAGGTGTAGGGGGTCACAGAGTGACGGACCTGAGTGCACGGGCTGTAGCCTCTGCTTTCATCAGCTTCCCCCAGTCGCAGTCCTGGTAGGCTGCCCGGCTGCAGTGATTTTAGAGGGGCCTGTCTTGGGCACTGCGGAAGTCTCAGGTAGACCTGACAAGCGCTCCCAGCCCCCCTCAGGGCAAAGCGGTTAATCAGGTTCCCTGAGTGTCTTTCTAGGCTGGAGTCCCAGCGCCTCCTGCCTCTGGGGTCAACTCCTACAGCTAACTTAGCCTTTCAAATTCCTCAGTCATTCTGACCTCCCAGATGCTGGTTCCCATCTTATGAGACCTTTGTGTGCTGCCGATTCTCCCAGGTGTGTCCCCTTAGTAACCAATTTAGGGACCGGTGTGTTCAGGAAACATTTCACCTGGAACTCTAAACCTGCCGGTGCTCTCCTGAGAGAACCGGAACTGGCATCTCCGGGTAGCACAGTTTTTGAAAAAGGATGTCTTATGTTTTGCGTTTTGTATTCTAATTTCTCCTTCTCCCTTTAAATGCTGTAGGACCTTCTTCTTCAAGCCTCTTTCAGAATATGCATTTGTCTTTCTAGGAGAACGTATTTACCGGGCAATCAAAGATCTATTCCTACATGAGTCCGAACAAATGCTCTGGAATGCGTTCCCCGCTTCAGGAAGAGAACTCAGTTGCACATCACGAAGTCAAATGCCAGGGGAAACCATTAACTGGAATCTACAGGAAACGAGAAGGTAAGCCTCTGAAATGGCCTCGTTCTGATCACAGAGGGTCAAATTGCAGAAGCCTCTCTCGTCCATAAGAGTGCATATATATCATATATTATCCAGCCTTTCAATCCCAGTTCGAGATGTCGCCATATTCTGTCTTGCTGCTAAAGAATGGCCTGTCCCAGGGTGTGTGTGTACGCCCTGGTCTGACGGGTTCTCCCTGCTTTCACAAGCGTTAGCAAGTCCTTCAAGCTTGATTGTCTTGCCAAGTTGCAAAATAACACATCTGATCCCCAGTTCCAGAGGCTCACAAGTGCCAAAAGTCCAGAAATAATGCGTTCAGGTTGTGCAGACCGGGTGACTGCAGTCCTAGCCAACGTGTTGTATGAATGCAGGGAACGCACTTCCTTCCCTTTTATGAGCTGGCCCTGATCCCATTTCTTTTTTTTTTTTTTTTGAGTTGGAGTCTCACTCTGTCGCCCAGACTGGAATGCAGTGGCCGCTCCCGGCCACCACAGCCTCGACCTGCTGGGCTCCGGCAATCCTTCTGCCTTGGCCTTCTGAGTAGCTGGAACTACAGGCACGCGCTACCACGCCCGGCTGATTTTTTGATTTATTGTAGAGATGAGGTTTTGCCAAATTGCCCAGGCGGGTCTCGAACCTGCGCGCTCAGGCATTCCACTCACCTCAGCCTCCCAAAGGCGTGGGATTACAGGCTGAGTCACTGAGCCCGGCTTCTGACCCCATTTCTAAAGTTTCTTTCCACTCAGGCATTCATTGCTGTCTTCTGAAGTAGCATACTCTGCAGTGAGATTTGGAGTTAAAATATTAAAGAAGAGAATTGAAAATTCTGCCTGGCCCTGCAAAAAAACCCCTCAAACCTCTTAGAAATCTTGCTCTAAATCCAAACACTCCCTTTCAGAGCTGCAGTGGGGAGGGTGAGTGTCCCCTAATTCACCACACTCCCTTCTAATTAAAACTTGTTTGAAAGAAGCAGAGCCTCTGGCTGCCAGCAGCACTGTACAAGAAGCCTTCTATTCACTAACAGAAAGTGTCATAAGTGATGATTTGGCCTGACCTTTGGGCCCAAATGTAAGAACCCAGTCTGGGGGAGCCCTCTACCAGGGGCAGGAGCCCACACTTGGCTTGGTTTCCCCTGGCACAGAGGGCCGGATTATTTCATTCAGTCTTCAAATAATGGGTTCCAGTCCTCACTTTGCCACTTGAAAGGAGGCTTGGGCAGGTTACTGCTCTTTTCTGAGCCTCAGTTCCCTCATTGTAGATTGGGAGAGAAGAGTCTGACCTCACAGGGCTGCGGTAAAGGGCAGCTGCAACATGGAGGCCGAAGGGCCTTGTGACACCTGCATGTACCAGCTCTTCCCCCGCTGGACTGTGAGCCCATGACCTTGCCCAGCCCTGTACCAGCAGCACTAAGATTCCCTGCCCCATAGGGATGGGGAAAGGGCTTGCTCTGTAAATGGTGGTCAGTCAGGCTCACATCCTTTTGGAGCAAGGCAGAATGTATTCTAATTTCTCCTTCTCCCTTTAAATGCTGTAGGACCTTCTTCAAGCCTCTTTCAGAATATGCATTTGACTTTCTAGGAGAATGTGTATTGTCCCAAGTGGTGCACAAGCTAGCTTATTTGGCTCGTGGTGTTACTAAATGGCCATAATTCAAATTCTGGGTCAGATGTATTTAGAGACGTCACGAGCCAGGCTCTTGACCATAATTCTGATAATGAACAGATAACATTCGTGGGCACCACACACGCTCCTGGGCTTCATGTCCTGGCCTTAATTCCCTCTGGTTCCATCCAAGAAGATGTGTAAGGGAGTGAGAATGATCTGGGTGGTTTTGATGTATTTACTTATTTTTCTCTCTTGTTTCTTGAGAGACAATTCACGTTTCATGAAGTTTGCCATTTTAAAGTGGTTTTTAGTATACTCACAGAGTTGTGCAATCATTGTCATTGTCTAACTCCAGAACATTTCATCACCCCAGAAAGAAACCCTGTACCCATTAAGAGTCACCTTCCATTCTCCTATCCCTCCAGCCCAAGGCAGCCATTAAACTACTTCTGTCTATGGATTTGCCTTTTCTGGATGTTTCGTATAACTTGAATCACACACTATGTAGCATTTGGTATCTGGCTTCTTTCACTTAGCATTGTATTTTTCTTTTCTTTTTTTTTTGAGTTGGGGTCTTATTCTGTCGCCTAGGCTGGTGTGCAGTGGCACCATCATGGCCTCAGTCCCCTGAGTAGCTGGAACTACAGGCATGTGCCACCATGCCCAGCTATTTATTTATTTATTTTTTTTTTTTTTTTGAGTTGGAGTCTCACTCTGTCGCCCAGACTGGAGTGCAGTGGCCGCTCCCGGCCACCGCAGCCTCGACCTGCTGGGCTCCGGCGATCCTTCCGCCTCAGCCTTCCAAGTAGCCGGAATTACAGGCATGTGCTACCATGCCCGGCTAATTTTTTTTATTTATTGTAGAGATGAGGTCTCGCTGCCCAGGCGGGTCTCGAACCCGCGGGCTCAGGCAATCCACTCACCTCAGCCTCCCAAAGGCGCGGGATTACAGGCTGAGCCACCGAGCCCGGCTATTTATTTTTTATATTTTTTGTAGGAATGGTTTGATGCCCAGGCTGGTCTCAGAACTCCTGGGTTCAAGCAGTTCTCCAGCCTCGGTCTCCCAATTTGTTGAGACTACAGGCATGAGCCATTGTGCCCAGCTAGTGTCGTATTTTCTTTTTTCTTTTGGAGTTAGACTCTCACTCTGTTGCCCAGGCTAGAATGCAGTGGCACCCTCCCAGCCACTACAGCCTTGACCTGCTGGGCTCAGGCAATTCTTCTACCTCAGCCTTCCAAGTAGCTGGAGCTATTGGCATGTGCCACCATGCCTGTCTAATTTTTTGATTTATTGTAGAGATGAGGTCTCACCAAGTTGCCCAGGCGGGTCTCGAACCTGTGGGCTCAGGCAATCTACTCACCTCAGCCTCCCAAGGCGCGGGATTACAGGCTGAGCCACTGAGCCTGGCAGTACTTTCTTTTTATGGCTGAATTATATTCTATTGTATGACTGTACCATATTTGGTTTCTTTATTTGTTGATGCACATTTGGGCTGTTTCCACTTTCTGATTATTATGAATAAACTGCCACATTCCTGCACAGGTTTTTGTACAAACATGTTTCCTTTTCCTTTTTCTTTTTTTTTTTTGATTCAGAGTCTCACTCTGTTGCCCAGGCTGGAGTGCAGTGGCATGCTCATAGCCACCACAGCCTCTACCTGCTGGACCCAAGTAATCCACCTCAGCCTTTCAAGTAGCTGGGACTACAGGCGCATGCCACCACCCTCAGCTAATTTTTTTATTTTATTGTAGAGCTGAGGTCTTGCCATGTTGCCCAGGCTGGTCTCAAACTTCTGGACTCAGGCAGTCCTCTCACCTCTGCCTCCCACAATGCTGGGATTACAGGCATGAGCCACTGCGCCTGGCTTGACATGTTTTTGATTCTCCTGAGTAGATGCTAGAAGTGAAATTGCTTAGTCATGTGGTAACTCCATGTTTGATGTTATTTGTAACTGCCAAACTGTTTTCCAAAGTGGCTGTACCATTTTACATCTACCATCAGTGTGTTACTTACTTGTTTTTTTTTTTGATTGGAGTTGTACTCTGTCGCCCAGGCTGGAGTACAATGGCATGCTTATGGCCACCACAGCCTCAACCTGCTGTCCTCAGGCGATGCTTCCACCTCAGCCTTCCTAGCAGTTGGAACTACAGGTGTGCACTACCATGCCTGGTTAATTTTTTTATTTATTGCAGAGCCGAGGTCTTGCCAAGTTGCCCAGGCTGGTCTCGAACCCCTGGGCTCAGGCAGTCCTCTCACTTTGGCCTTCCAAAGTGCTGGAATTACAGGCTTGAGCTATCATGCCCGGTCTTTTTTTGGTTTTTAAAAAGTAAACCATTACAAAAAATAGTTCAACAGTGCTGGTACTTCGCAGATCTTTTTCGTAACAAATCATTCTCATGCGCCTTCCAGCACTCTGGCCTGTCTGCACCAGTGCCGTGCTGAGAGGCACTGAGAACCTGGTGTGCTTCAACCCCACTATACGGTGGAGCTTCTTTTCTTTCTTTTTTTTTAAATTTTTAAAATTTTTTTTGAGTTGAAGTCTCACTCTGTCACCCAGACTGGAGTGCAGTGGCCGTTCCGGCCACTGCAGCCTCGACCTACTGGGCTCTGACAATCCTTTCGGCTCAACCTTCCAAGTAGCTGGAACTACAGGTGTGTGCTACCACGCCCGGCTAATTTTTTGATTTATTGTAGAGTTGAGGTCTCGCCAAGTT